TAAATTAAATAATAATTTATAATGTATGACATAGGAACAATTTTTGCCCAGTTTCTTACTCTTCAGAATGATTTTATTAAAAGGAAATAGCATTGTTATCACACTAGGAAAGTATTTTTTCCCTACCTTTATTTTTGAAGTCTTTATTGTCTATATTTTACGTAAATAAATTGGTACAGATCATATATTTAAAAAAAAATTAATAATGGGAAAGATAATTTTCATCTTTAGCAAAAAATTAACAGATGAACAGTAGGTCAAAAGTTGGTGTCAACCGGGAAATAAATTGCTACTACCCATATTCTAGGTGGTCTCTATAGGCTAGAAATTAAAGTAATTAACTGCTTTATTTAAGATACCATTTGCATAATTTCTGGTTTTAGTTTTTATGCGAATGAAAAGTAGAGCTATTTGACACTTCATTATCTAATTAAAACTTGCTATTTAAAGTAGAGGAATTATTGGTGAGTTTGATGGAGTTAGTTATATAATTCGGTTTTCCTGTAAAAGTAAGGATTTTATTGACTGCATTTGATTACAACATTTTTTTAAATTATTTTAGTAAATAGGTAATCGAAATTTGAATTTCAATAAGCATGTAGCTATTTAGGAATATCATAATTTCTTAAATGGTATTTTTATATAAACATATTTCATTTTTGTGCACTAAGGACCTTCAAATGAGATAATAAAAAAATATAATAACAATAATAAAAGGGTACAACTTTAATGTGGCATAAAAGTGAACTTAATATTAATAGAACGACATTTAAAATTTATGGGAACAATAATTATAGGAAATGAAATAATAAAAGCAGCAACAAATGTATAATATTTTAATTCCAACTACACTGGTACCTATATTAAGACTAACAAGTGACAAGGTGAACGAGATTAAAAATTAATACATTTGTTAATTCATAAAAAATGAAACTGATGTGGATAATAATACATCAGTTATTCATACAGATTTTATTTTAATAAGTTGTTTAGAATCAATCAAAAGATTTGTATTTAAAATTTTATTAATAAATAAAGTGTAAAATAAACAAAAGTGATTTCCTTTCTAAATCAAATATTAGTTTTAATGAAGATTTAATTTTTCCATGTTGATAAAAACTGCACCAGTTTCGAAATTTAAAAACGTATCTCGATATCTTTGCATTTAAGGAGTTGAGTGTATGACTTCTGATAAAAAAGAATCTATTTAAGCTCAATCTTTAACATTGGACAAAATAAAAAGCTCATAAAAAGATTACAATATCTCGGCAACCAACAGTCGCACGGAGACCTTTCATAAATCAAATTGAAGTTGAATAAATAAGTTAACTGATTTCTCTATTGATTCAGTTGAAAAAAGTTCCACGGACAATACTAAAAAAAAAAATTGGAATTTTGCTAAATGCTATTTTGTTTATCTCGATACGACCATTTTTCCCTGAGATACAGCCTTTCTAAAATCTTGCCTCTAAATTTTTCCAGTAGTGTATGATAAATACATATGTATATAAGCTTTCTCGTTAAAGGCAAATTCAAGCTGCATAAATGACCTCTATTGAGTTTGGAAAAACTTAGAGTCCATAAACAGTTCTAAGAAAAAACTTTTGAAAAATTTTTTCTCGATATATTTCTTTTGATTTCTCGATAACCGTAGCTCAAAAAAAAATTTTGTTGAAAGATTTTGAAACCAGAGGCTTAAAGCTTCAAAATGTTTAATTTGTTTATCTCGATTGGACCATTTTTCACTAAGATACAGCCTTTCGAAAATCATTAAAAAATTCATAAAAATTTTTTGTTCCTTTAATTTTTTCCAGTAGTGTATACTGAAATCGAGTCATGTTATTCATATGTGGACTTTACTTATAAGTAAGAAAAAATGTTTTTCTTGCTGTAGATATATATTTAAGTAAATTTTAATGTTTCAAAAAACATGCACTCGAAGGGAGATTTCTCATCCAAAAGTAAGATAAAAAATTCGTATCACCATTGACCCCTACCTACTTCGTTTCTGAGGTATTATATGTTTGGGTTTGCGAATGTTCTACTTCTCTTCTTTTATTATTATATTATTAATTTATTATTTTTTATTGTTTTTCTGCTATTATGTTTAAATAATAATACANTGTTGTTGCTATAGTAGGTTCTGAATTTCTTATTTTTTATTAAAATACTTTCTAATTCAAATATTGGTTTTAATAAAGATTTAATTTTTCCATATTGATAAAAAATGCACCAGTTTCGAAATTTAAAAATGTATTGTAGTATCTCGATATCTTTGGATTTAAGGGGTTGAGTGTATCTCCTGATGAAAAAGATTATGTTAAACTCAATTCTTTAAAATCGGACAAAATAAAAGTTCATAATAATAATATAATGAAATCCTATATAAATAAATTATAGAAAGATACCCACCGTTAACGTGAAAGCTTATATTTTTATTATACGCTACTGGAAAAAATTAAAGGGGCAAAAAATGTTCATGAATTTTTTAATGATTTTTGAAAGACTGTATCTCATTGAAAAATGGTCGTATCAAGATAAACAAAATAGCATTTTGAAGCTTTAAGTCTTTAGTTTCAAGATATATAGACAAAAATTTTTTTTGAGCTGCAGTTATCGAGCAATCAAAAGAAAAAAATTCCAATTTTTTTTTAGAACTATCTATGGAAAATTTTTGCCAACTGAATCAATACAGAAGTCAGTTAGCTTATTTATTCAACTTCTATTTGATTTTAAAAAGGTCTCCATGACTATCGGTTACCGACATATCGATGATTGACTGAAAAATAACAGTTTTGTCTTTAATCATCGATATCTCGGCAAGAAACTACTACACAGTAAATCCAAGGGCAGTTTTGAAAACTTGAATAAATTCTCTACAAGAACCTGTCATGGTTTTCGAAGAAAAATTTTTATTTTCATCCTTGACGTCAATTTAAAAAAAGTGCAAAATAATAACTTTTTACAGTTTTTTAGAAAATCTGCAGCTAATTTACAAATAAAGAAGAAGAAAGACTAATGTTGAATTTTTTCCAGTTCAGTATTCCCACAATTACCCTATAAATTTTCAGTTGATGCATCAAACCGTTTTTCTGTGCCAAGTGATCAAAGTTTTGGAAGAAATTAAAGGAACACGCTTATTGCTCCTAAACATTATGTAATCACTATCAAAATGAAAAAGAAGAATTTTCTCGACTTTTCCCACAATTTTAAATTTATGAAAAATTAGAAAGCCTGAAGTTGAACAAATAACCTGAGTATTGATTGGAAAAATTTGGAGTTCATAGACAGTTCTAAGAAAAAACTTTTGGAAAATTTTTTCTCGATATATTTCATTTGATTTCTCGGTGACCGTGGCTCAAAAATTTTTTTATCGAAAGATCTTGAAACTAGAGACTTAAAGCTTCAAAATGTTTATTTGCTTATCTCGATACGACCATTTTTCACTGAGCGACAGCCTTTGGAATATCACTAAAAAATTCATAAAAATTTTTGTTCCTTTGATTTTTTCCAGTGGTGTAATCGAGTCATAATATTCAAATGTGGGCTTTACTTATACGTAAGAAAAAATATTATTCTTACTGCAGATACCTATTTAACTAAATTTTAATGTTTCAAAAACATGCACTCGAGGGGAGATTTCTCATCCAAAAGTAACACTATTGACCGGTGCCTGCTTCGTTTCTGAGGTATACTATGTTCGAGTTTTCGAGTTTCCTACTTTTTCGTTTTTTTATTATATTGTTGCTTAACTATTTTTATTTTACTTTTCTGTTTAAAAAATATGTAATTGTCAACTAAGGTTTCTTACGTCTATTAAGAAAAATGAAAAAAAATGCAAATCTAATAAATTTGTATTTCTTATTGAAAGTGAATTCGAAAAGTCAACAGTTCAACCAATTTAAATAAAAATTTAGAAATAAAAAGTTAGAGAATCTAGTGATAGGATTATAGTACAATCTGGAAAAAAACGAAAACAGCGAAAACCTACCTACATTTGCATACCTAGTGTTGGTGTCATGGAACATTGTTTGACTTCATTTCATAGAATTTTTGAGCTAATAATTAAAAAATATTTTACCCTCTACGTAGTATTACCGTTTACAATAATATTAAATTATCTGAAACCGTAAAAATACTTAAGTATGCAATAGATGAAGTAATTAGGTATAATGTGAATTTTCTCTACTTACTAGTTACTAGGTATGTTGTAATGTGATCTAAAATATGCCTTTTTAAAATTTGACTGTTCGTGCCACACATTCCTCTCGTTTGGGAAGTTCATCATAGTGGGATGTTACCCCGTATTTATATAAGCGCAAATCGAATTTCACTTATGCCAGTATTAGAATTACTTACACACACAGTCATAATGAAGGTACTACATGTTATTATTTATGGCTTTACATTACATCATTGTGCAACATTAACAAAAGTGAAAAAGTTCATTTACTACTAGTGAAGTGATACTAATGGTTCTATAATTTGTGATGACGTTTATCAACATATTTTGCGCAGATAACTGTGTACATAGAAAATTTGTTTTTTAATTTTCGTAATTAATATCTACGTACTTTACGTAAATTTTGCAATTCTCCTCATTAAATAGTAGCGTAAAAAGTATTAAATTAGTAACGTGAATATTTAGCAAATGTACTTTTTCCACGTGAAGTCGGAGATTAAGTTTTCTAGACGTTTTGTTAACTTTATCAGATCACAAACTAAAGAATCCTTTGATCAAACTTACACCATGAGCTGCAAACATCAAGTAAAATGAACAAGGTTACATCCACAAGAAATAGCTTCTGTAGTTATTAATTTTGCAATAAAATTCATTTTCATAGTGAACCGTAAAAATAATTAGTTACAAAATAAACAAAAATTCAATTCACATCGATATAGTTTATTAGAAAAAGGATTTGGAAACATAATTATCTGTAGGATATTTGAAAACTATCGACGTTATATGCAATTTTATTCTTGAATCCATTCATTTTCAGGTGTTACTAGTCATTGTGTTTATATCAGCTGTAGCCGGTTATCCAATAGAATACCAGGAGCATGACATAGCCTTATTATCGGCCTCTTCAGGAAAAGCTGAGCCTGTGGTAAGTACATACTCACTTAAATATGATATGACAGGTTAAAGCAACTATGAATGCAAAAAGTGTTTATTATAGAAATAAAAAAAAGTTAAATAGACATGTCCAATCAAAATTCAAAACGATAAATTAGTTCTATAAATTTAGTACTGTGTCCAAAAAAACATTTACCTATTTAGTCTTTTATTATTTTCGTTATCACTGATTTAAATATGAAATTCATTTTCCTTAGAGAGGTTTGTAGGCATTTGATAGACACAGCTAAGTTAAAAATTGTATAGGTTTGAGTAAAGGGCAGATTTTCAGTTAGGCCAGATGACAGTGGCCAATCAGATCGATGGTACATAATATTTGGTTCCCATTTGATGCAGTTTTAATAGATCTGTGCCAACCAATCTTACTAGATTCTGGAAAGATTTTCTTATTTTTTTTTATCTTAAACTTTAAGTACTACTATTAATTACAACAAAAAATAAATTGTAGTAAACAAAAAGTGCAAGGGGTAACTGATACTTTAATAAATATCCATGTGTATTTGGAAGTGATTTTAAACTGATGACATTGAAACAAGTATTCTTGTCAGAGGTAATCTTATTTCATGTTTAATATAATTTTTTTCATTTCCATAGATTGGAGATATTTTAGAATTACTACTGTTAAAAAGTATATATTTAATTTTATTATCTTATCTGTAAAATCAATATTGAAAGTACATATAAGTAAACTAAATCAAATTGAATACCAACACGGTGTTACTGTTATAGCAATGTTTGCATATCAAAATGAGAACTAAATATTACCGGCAGATATGGTCTTGAGAAACATATTAGATTGGAGTATCTTATCCACAAATTATATCAGAAAAATGTGTATTAGTGAGTACTTATCATTTAAATAAATCTAGTGAATATTTTTTGTCATATCAATCCGTTGAAATAAGTTATTAATTCTGTTTATTTATAGTACTTTTATAAATTATGTTTATCACAAATTGTGTTCAAAAATTGAAGTTCTTCACTACAGATATGTCGTTTTTAATTAAAATGTGTTCCTTTTAATTTTTAACAGGTTTAACTTATTCCAGTTTCCATTAAAAATTACTTAAATCTAATATGATTTTTTGACATCTCCGATGGCAGTGATGCATTTGAAGAGGGTGGACAAATTTTTTATCATAAATTAAACTCAATAAGCTTCATCTTTTGAAAAAGATTTTAATCAAACCAGACAAAAAAAGCAAAAATAGTTATAGGGATGTTACCATCTTAAGTGCTACTCTCGTTGTAGGTAGAGTAGTTTCAAATTCTCATGAGCCGCGAAATGCGCGAAAGACGTGGCGTATCCGCATAATTCTTCTAATAAGCACGTTGTGAAAACATTGACTCAGAATTAGACAACGTGCCTCATTACAACCAGAAATGAACTAAGGCGCTCGGGCATCAATAAAGTCAACTGGCGAACGTTCGTTATATATATTTTATTGCTTAAATTAAAATAATAAATAACAGAGCATTTTATTTGATATTTGTAATCGGAGCAAAGGCTTGTTTACGCTACGAGAGTTCGAGATAGACTGTGAATAATGGATGTAATGTTTTTAGGACGTAGAATAATTTAGGCGATGGTCGGAATTATGTTTCTGCGTATATCAAGGTCAAAGCTCATAAGATTTTGAAACAACTCTACCTATCATTTTAAACCAATTATGTAGATAATTTATCATTGAGCCCCATTTTTAATGATTATTACTATTTGGTAAAATAAACTATTCTTAGATATTTAAAATGCTATTTGGTGTTTCAGTTATAAGTATTTTAAGTGATATACAGGTAATTAAGATCTGCATTTATTCTCTATTCAGTAATTCTAATTAAATATTTAATATCGCATCATAACGTCGCGATTGCACAACGCAATGTGCCCGTTTCTTCTTTAAGATATCCTTAGTAAAAATTGAAAACGGAAGGATAGTCTTGGGATATTAAACATCTGTTGATTGTTAGCTTAACACTTCTTTTTTATCAAGTAATAGCCATTATTGCGGCAGTATTTAAATGTTAAAGAGAGAAATTTATAGAAATACATAACATGTACATAAGTATTTGAATAGTGTATGCCACAGAATAAAGTGGTCAATGATAAATGCATATGAATGTAATAAAAATCTGTTAATAGGTAGTCATTAAACTTTTGGTAACAGTTATTGGTTACCATTAAAATTATTATTTTAAAATAATTAACAATAATAAAAAAATTGAATTATAATGAATTTGCAATTTAACACCAATAATTTGATTAAATTAAACAAGCGCATGTTTCACTGAAGATTATACGGGAATATTAAATTACATCTGCTTCGATTTTCTAAGATGTAAGACGGTTTGAACATCTAGTTTTTCTTAAAATGGTTTGTAATTAGCAAGAAATGAAGAACAAAACTGGGGGCATTTGGAAAGTTAAGTTTTATGTGGCATAAAATTATTTAGATATTATAGGTAATATATTTAAGAATTTATAAAGAATATAAAAATATTGCTGAAAATTTATGGACTAAATTGTTTTTTGAATCTCTACAAAAAAACATATATTTTTTTATAATAAACATCAGCCTATGTCCAACACAATTTTCTAATTGTTTGTTGTAATGCTGTAAAAAAACGTTTTTTCCAAATATGTTTTGTTCGATTTACATAAACAGACTTTGGTATGTGTTGTTAGCATGGTAAGAGTAACTGTATATACAGTAATGGAAGAAATACTCCCACCCTTAAGGAATGTCCCTATTTTTTTGGCAGATGAAAATTCCATAAAAAATTGTATTTATTTACTTAATAAAAATGAAATATCACTTTGTTCAGTTTAGAAACTTTTAATTCAGTGATTGTTTTCAGAAAAGAAACGATGGTAATCATATTTCAGTTTATACAGGGTGATTCAGTTATAATGTCATTAATTTTAAGGAAGATATGGAAAAATGAGTAGAATACGCGAATAAAGAATTTTAAAATACATATTTACACCGAAAAAAAATTTTTCCGATCATTATTTAAACCGCTTTACAGTCCGCTACTGACCGCTGACCCACAAAGGTTTATCGAGAGTGAATCTTGACCTACCGTATTATTCGATCACCAACCTAGTTTTTACTGCATTTTTAATCCGTAGTGAACGAAAAGGAAAAAAACAAATCTTTTTAATTAGACACTTGAATAAAAAAGATATTTTTTTACGCCTTAAATATTAACAACTATTATTTATTTGTTAATAAAAACAAATTTATAACGTCGTTACAATTTAGTATTTTTAATACTGTTAATTAATGTTTTTACTATGTTTTATAATTGAATATGAGTTTTTAGTATAATGTTGAATTAATTATTCGGTTTGTAATATGTATAACGAGTGATATATTGCTTTGTAAAGAGAAGTATGGTACGTCCCTATTTAAAATTAAAGTACATTTAAAAAAACACTCGTTCGTCCATAGTACTTTGCTAATAAAGTTGGGATCCGCTAATTTTGAAACCATTTGCAAAATTCAACACAACTCGGGATATCAGCTGTTCCTCTTCAACGTTCGAATGCTCTGTAGTCCGCCCGCCGCGCCGGTGCGCTCCCTGGTGCCGAATTAATGGGAGTTAAAGGGTAATTTGCTTATTTTTTAAAAGATCGAGTAAAATTATTTTTCCAATATTCTATCTTTACTGGACCTTCCGAATACACGGTTAAAATTAATGACATTATGACTGAATCACCCTGTAAAATAAGAATTTATTGCACTTATCTCAGATTTCTTCCATTCTGTAAAATGTGCCTTTATCAAATCTATGTCTCTGTGATTGTTCTTATACAAGGACCATTATATTAGATAAATCAATGGGAAACTACATACCATAAATTGCGTATCTAAAGTAAGTGCGATTACATGTTTTTTTCTGACTGAGAATACTAATCATTTCCAATAGTTATTGCAGATGAATATTCAATTACAAATTCCATTGGTTATCAAATAATTCACATTGCTCGTGACAATTAAATAAGATTTGTACTGACTAATAAAATAATTATGTTAAGGTCATTATATTTACAAACAAAATTTCAAGAGAAATAAATCTTCAAAAAAGACCTCCTGATAAAACTAGCGTTGAAATTGTAAGGTTAAGAATATGAGTATACAAAGGCTGATCCCGTTCTTCACCCCTAGCAGTTTGAAAAAAGTTATTCATTTTATTAGAGATGCATTTGAGCAAGTAATATCAATATCAAAATGGAGGAAGTCGAGCAACAAGATTTGGTGAATACATTTCAATATCCTATGATCATTAAAAGATGGAGATGTGAGTTTAAAATATGATAAGCATCAGTCTTAGTCAACGGGCCCATGTACAAAGAAAAAAATGATTACCAGCAAGCTGTAACTTTGCGTGCAGCTTAAGTTTGACGAGTCTCCTGATAAAAAAAAGATAAATTACCTTTGTTGTTGAAATCATTATTTCCGTGAAAATTATAAAAAAATGTAAAAATTGAAACGAATTTTGTAGATAGGTCTGACGTGAGGTAAACTATAGGGTTAGGCAGAATTAAGTAAGTATATATTTTAAATCTGGTCGTTTTAATTAGTGACTAAATTTTTACTCAAAAATCAAACAAAAGGTTTTTGGGAAAACACTCGGTAAATATTTCGGTTACTCTATCAGAAACTGACACTTACACCAAAGTACTGGCACATTTTAATTTAATTTAATTCGGATTTAGGTCAATCAATAGAGGTTTTGTTTGTGACAAAAATACTAGTAGCAATCGGACTGTGCGATCATATAAAAGACAGTCTATAGATATATGCTTATGTTTCCTACTCCAATTAGGTAATCATTAACTAATTTTTTATAAATATTTTTATGCAAAAAACGCTTTTTTAGTTTTTTTGTTTATAAAACCCAAAGTAACGCAGCAATCTGAATGCTATTTTCTTTCGCAGTGATTCTGATCAAAAAGTATAATAGGAAGTACATACTGGAACATTTTCTTCGGGAAAATGTCGATTTCATACGTGTATTTGTATAGAATACAAGCCGATAGGAGTCATTTAACATCGCTACAAAAAGTTACGGAATTGGTTGAACATGGATCGATTTCAAAGAATCTACGTAGAGACTGAACAAGTTTTACCCGATCTTACGCGGATATTGCCATCTGGACGATTTTTCCCCGCAGAATGACAGCCTTAGAAGTATATTTCTATAAAATACAGGCCTATCGAAATCATTTCCAGAGTGAGGCAGAAATTGACTGATTTTTAACATTGTCCTTTTCCGATTTTTGCGGGTTTTCTTCGTTTCTAATTATCCGATAGGATCGACCTTTCGTTGTATTCGTATATCGACTCTCTACAAATTATCTTTATATAGCATTCAGATTGTTTCGTTAGTTTAGGTTTTTTAAGTAAAAAACTAAAAAATTTTTGCATAAAAATGTTTATAAAAAATTAATTAATGGTAAATTGGAAACATATGAGCATATATCTACAGACTGTCTTTTATATCATAGCACAGTCCCTGTGCTACTTATCACAGTATTTGTCACAAAATAACTGATTTAATGCTCTATTGATTGGCTTAATTAGATAATATTGGAGTTTCAATAATCTTAGGTAGTTCTGTGCACGGAGAATATTGAGACACCCTATATAAATATTTAATAATTTACCATGGAAAATATTCTACAAACTAGGTGTTTCTTCCAGGCTTACCCAAAGTACCGCTTCGAGTACGGAGTTAAGGACGGCCATACCGGCGACATCAAAGAGCAATCCGAAGAACGTGATGGAGACGTCGTCAAGGGAGAGTACTCTTTAGTGGAGCCAGATGGTACGGTGCGTAAGGTGCAATACGAAGACGACGGCCATAGCGGCTTCAACGCGGTAGTCACCAGGTCGGGGCATGCGGTTCATCCACCCACTCACGAGAAATTAGCCATTCCGGTAGCTTCCTATGCAGGATATCACCGTTGATTGTAGAATTTAAATAATCTCAGTTATCAAATAATTTATGACCAATGGATATGTAAATTCGTTGTCTGAATTTAAAGGAAACCTTACTACGGTGTTTGTAAAATTATGTTTTTGAGAAATAAGGCTAAAAAGTTACTGAAATGTTAAAATAAAAACGTTTTTACATTTTCCCATTAAGTACCTAATAATTCTGGGTAGTACCTAATATGTAAGATTTTGCCATTAAAGTATTTCTTCAGTTGTAGTAGTAATTATTAGCATTTGCTGTAAAAATTTTTTTGGAGTTTCATACAGTGTTTTCTGTTTTCACTTAGAAACTGACATTCATATTATTATTAATTTTAATAATAAAAGTAATTGTGAATTTATTTCCGAAAGATTGATTAGTTATCTTAGTTATAGTATCTTATATATTGATCCTTCAATATAATAATTAATAATTATTGCGATACAAAGTACCTAATTATCGCAGTTTTAACGTCTAACTCACATATTTTATTTAGATTATAAGTGTTATGTTATCAGTATTGTATTATAAATTAATTGTTCAAATAAATTGTATAAGGAGTGGTTTTTATAAACGAATTGTTTTATGTAGTATATGTTACAAAAAACTTTCAGAACATCAACTACATACTTTTTGGACGAAAATAATGAAACACAACGTTTATCCGAAATCTTTGCAATTGCAGATATTTTAATACGCATCAATATTTTTAAAGGATGTAAAGCTTATCAACGTAAACAAAGAAAGAAAGAAAAATAGACTTCTTATTGTAATAATTTATTATCCTCAATTTACTTTAATGTTTAAAATACACATTATCCTTACAGATACCTACTTTATATTGCACTTAAAAGTATAATAAACTTTCAGAAACATTTTTAAACGACAGAGCAGTTAATAGTAATGAGGGTAATGTATCGGTTACAAAAAATGATATTAAGTGATTAGCATTATGTAATTTTTAATTCTTTTTACTTCTAAATTGTACAATTAGTCATTGTGACCTAACTTTCATTACATGATTATTATAGAAGAAATTTAATTTAAAGTACGTCAAATAATATTCGGTAAGATCACAGTATACTAATCAATACTGTGGGTAAGATCAAGTGTGAATTAGGTTAAATAAGATTTGTTTGAATAGTACTAACAGTAGTTTTAATATACAAAATTTAGAACGAGCACACTTTCAGATCTCAAAAATCATTCCCAATAGAACGTTTTTTAAGTTCTATCCTTAAAGGCTTTGTCTGTGAACGTATAAGGTTAAACAAATCTATAAGATTTTTGATATTTTCTAAGCTGATATACATATCCATCGCACGTTATGAATTTTTTGTACGCTCAAGTAATTTGATACCTTTACTGAATTTGTTGAACCATTTATAAGTAATTACTTACCGATCTACAGCTAGTTACAGAAGAAGACGCCACCCACCATGCCATTTAAGGCCTAAAATATCTATTCCTTGGTTTGCCAGAATAGAGACAGAACTCCCTCGGAATGTGTGTTCGGTATAAGTTCAGGGATCCGGCAATTTTAAACCCTGTGCAATTTTATTGGGCTAACTTCCTGTGGTATTTCTACCCACTACCAGGTTGGTAACCTTCCCATCTTGCAGTGCCAGCTGACTTTGTCTATTTTGGTCATAGTGCCTGAATATGTTTTACAAAATCCCAAATAATCCCCGTTTCCTTGATTTGTAATTGTAAACGTTCGTGATATGCGTTTTAGTGTCGAGAATACTTTCTACTGTAAATTGCTATTCCAAATATCAGTCCTACTTTTATACAGGGATTCCCATAAGCTCATGATCAAAATACTAATAATAATAGGTACTGTGACATTCTTTGGCTCAAAAGAAGACGATTTGACATAACTTCCATTAAGAAAAAATGACTGGCTCTTCTGCTATAGACTGTCAAAGTTCTTGAAAAAAAAAAAAATATGTTTTTTGTAATATCTGGAGAATGTTATGGATTTTAATGAAACTTGCTGTGGACTTGTTCCTAATAAGTAAGACTTATGTTTTGATGAAGCAACCGCGTCCATCCGCCTTGGGTTAGTGGTAAATTCTTGAGTATCATGGTACAAGAATTACCAGAAATTTTTATTTGGTAGCTGGAATTAATTCATTTTATTTTTATTGATGCATCAGTCCTTTTTCGAGATTTTCGTGCTCTTGGTAAAATCTTATAGCATTCATAGTTTTTACGCAATTTATTTTTTTTTTCAATTTTAGACAATCATTATCACTACTACTCAAGTAGAACAAATACTCACTACAATCACTACTATCGTAGTAAGTATCTTGGTAAAATCTTGTAGCATCTATAGTTTTTACGCAAAAAAATGTTTTCTGTTTCGTTGCGACTTAACAATTTTAGATGTATCGCAGTAAATCTGCCCTTTTACAAGAAGCAGCTTTCTCTAATAATAATTTCCAATTCTTTTACCTATGATATCAATATTGAAAGTAAAATGGTCACAATTTTAAAGTGTCGCAATCCGCCGGATTGAATATCATTTTACTTCATTAGATTTATTTTTTGTTAACACTCAAAAAATGTAATGACGTGCATAGGAAAAACATAATTCTCTTTATTGAAACTGGATGACAGTTACATAGATACGATAGATGAGGGTTGAATTACAAGACATGTTCCATATGCCCCCCACTTTCTTGGATGCATAGCTGGATCCTTCAATTGAAATTGAATTGAGCCCTCCTCAACATTTTTGGATCATTCCGTATTACGTTCACCTCGTTTTGAATCCTACGCAATAATTCTTCCTGGGATTCCACAGGAGTAGCGTAAACTTTATTCTTCAAGGCTCCCCATAGAAAAAAATCGAACGGCGTTAAGTCGGGGGACCTGGGGGGGGGGTCATTCGACAGGAACATATCTCCCTCTTCTTCCGATCCACTTGTGTGAAAAAGTATTATTTAATTGTGCAGTTACATTTGCACTAAAGTACGGAGGAGCACCATCGGGCGTGGACTACATCTGAGCACGAAGATCGAGAGGGACATCTTCCACTAGAAGCGGAAAANTTATTGGGCTAACTTCCTGTGGTATTTCTACCCACTACCAGGTTGGTAAGCTTCCCATCTTGCAGTGCCAGCTGACTTTGTCTACTTTGGTCTTAGTGCCTGAATATGTTTTATAAAATCCCAAACAATAATTAACTGTTGCGTTTCCTTGTTTTGTAATTGTAAACGTTCGTGATATGCGTTTTAGTGTCGAGAATACTTTCTACTGTAAACGCAGTGTCTATTTATTTCATATTTGGTTTTTCCCTTCTGCACGCCCCTGCTATTCCAAATATCAGTCCTACTTTTATACAGGGATTCCCATAAGCTCATGATCAAAATACTAATAATAATAGGTACTGTGACATTCCTTGGCTCAAAAGAAGACGATTTGACCTAACTTCCATTAAGAAAAAATGTCTGGCTCTTCTGCTATAGACTGTCAAAGTTCTTGAAAAAAAAAAATATGTTTTTTGTAATATCTGGAGAATGTTATGGATTTTATTGAAACTTGCTGTGGACTTGTTCCTAAGTAAGACTTATGCTTTGATGAAGCAACCGCGTCCATCCGCCTTGGGCTAGTGGTAAATTCTTGAGTAGGTATCATGGTACAAGAATTACCAGAACTTTTTATTTGGTAGCTGGAAACAATTCATTTTATTTTTATTGATGCATCGGTCCTTTTTCGAGATTTTCGTACTCTTGGTAAAATCTTGTAGCATTAATAGTTTTTACGCAATTTTTTTTTTCAATTTTACACAATCATCACTACTACTCAAGTAGTACAAATACTCACTACAATCACTACTATCGTAGTAAGTATCTTGATAAAATCTTGTAGCATCTATAGTTTTTACGCAAAAAAATGTTTTCTGTTTCGTTGCGACTTAACAATTTTAGATGTACCGCAGTAAATCTGCCCTTTTATAAGAAGCAGCATTCTCTAATAATAATTGCCAATTCTTTTACCTATGATATCAATATTGAAAGTAAAATGGGCACAATTTTAAAGTTTGTCGTAATACGACGGATTGAATACCATTTTACTTCATTAGATTTATTTTTTGTTAACACTCAAAAAATGTAAAGACGTACTTAGGAAAGACATAATTCTCTTTATTGAAACTGGATGACAGTTACATAGATACGATAGATGATGGTTGAATTACAAGACATGTTCCATATGCCCCCCACTTTCTTGGATGCATAGCTGGATCCTACAATTTAAATTGAATTGAGCCCTCCTCAATATTTTTGGATCATTCCGTATTACATTCACCTCGTTTTGAATCCTACGCAATAATTCTTCCTGGGATTCCACAGGAGTAGCGTAAACTTTATTCTTCAAGGCTCCCCATAGAAAAAAATCGAACGGCGTTAAGTCGGGGGACCTGGGGGGGGGGGGGCATTCGACAGGAACATATCTCCCTCTTCTTCCGATCCACTTGTGTGAAAAAATATTATTTAATTGTGCAGTTACATTTGCACTAAAGTACGGAGGAGCACCATCGGGCGTGGACTACATCTGAGCACGAAGATCGAGAGGGACATCTTCCACTAGAAGCGGAAAAGTATTCGTTAGAAAATTGAAATAATTTTCGCTATTCAAGCGGCGTGTCATGACATGAGGACCCAGAAGGATGTCACCGATGATCCCGGCCCAAACATTTATTGGAAATTCCACCTGAAAGTGGTTAATACGCATCGCATGAGGCATTTCTTCTGCGTAATGGTGGAAATTACGTGAATTAAAAATACCACTTCTGGTAAAACCAGCTCTATCAGTAAATAAAATTCGGCTGGTGAAATTTGGATCACGTGCCCGCGCTCCTTAAATAAAGGGGCAAAATTGAAGTCCTCTCTCAAAATGGTGTGGTCAAAACTCTTAAATAGACGTCGCATGATAAGCATGGACGAGCTGCTGTCTTGTGATGCGATTTATTGTACTTATTTTGTATTTAAATAGATCAGAATCAGAAAAATTATTTAAAAACTTGTACATGTGTTTTCTGGTAAAGATTCTTGATTTTTTTTATTTTATGTCCAATATTTTTCCTTTTAAGCAAAGCATATATTTTGGAATATCAACAACTTTATGCAAAAATATTGTGCCTTTGAGCATAGAGTATTCAGCTGTGATATTTTCAAATTTTTTCTTGTTACACCACGATGCAAATAGATTGAAGGTTTTCTCGTATCTATCTTTGGACTTCTCGGGAATGGCTGAGCATCCTACTTGCCAAACATTTTCTAAGTCCGAATTGTCCCTTTCTT